GTTTACCATTGTCAATCTCGCTTAATTGGGGGCCAGATTTGCATATTAATTCCGTTTTATAACAATATAGTGCTACTTTAGGATTCCAACCATTGTATTAGCACTTATATCCAATCACAATTCGCCTAGTAAAGGCAATACTTTAAAAAGAATTTTGTGCTTTTTTGCTTGTTTAAGCATCATAAGTTTTGCATAGATGTTACGCGGTTAAAAAAGCCGGTCGGAAATTTGCTCAACGAGCATATACATTTAAAAAGTCAACTTACGCAATGGCCCCATTGTAGTGCCGTTGGAAAAAAGACCAGGAATGTTTTCAAGCGAACCCCGCCCTTCATCCTGCCTAAAGCCCGTCCTGAAGATGACAGTGTTGTCGGTTCCAGTATCTACCAAACGCCCGTCATTCATCAGAGTTACCTCCACTTCTGGGGGTAACTGCACAGTATTTGATACATCCGGCAGGTGTGTTTGGGAAGTATTAAGGAAATATTGTTCATTGGAATCTTCAGGAGTAGGGGATTGTATCTGCAATGAACGGCTGGCAACAAGACCGGAAGCTTCATGAACGGTGCTTGAGGAGGAGCATCTGGCTGTATAACAGGTATTTCGGGTCGTAAGTAGCAAATAAATTAGCGCTAGCAAAACCGATATGAATAATTACATTTTTAGGTGAGTACTGTTAATTCATCAAAAATAGGTGAATAACGGCAATCCGAATTAATATATTTATAAATAAAATCAATTTTTTAAAAATAAGACAACAATAATACGACTGTAATTAGATCGTAGATATGAAGACCAAGATAGAGTAGCCTATTCAGCATGTTGGTTGTTTTGTTCATTTATATCGGCTCTTTAATCTTTGCTTACTGTTTGGTATAGTCCTTATAATCAGCCAAGCGTTTGGCTTAGACCAATCTATCTGGTGTCCTGTGCGAAACATGCATTCGGCCAATTCCTATTTTGGGATGCACAGACCTTTGCAGGCTATTAAGTCTTCAGATAACCTCTTTTGT